GTATCCACACGCTCGATGAATTAGTGGTGAATCCCCGAGCCTCGGTACTTTGCCTGCGGGATGCCTTCCCAACACGCCCACTTCACTTGGCAGCATCCAGGCGGGGAGGCAAACGGCAGGTGCTTTTTGACATATAACGCGTCTATCGTGTGCGACTTCCGTGCTCCTACCCGGACAACCCACCTTCACCACCTACTGCCCTAGAGGTCAACACCTACCCTACGCGCCCCAACAATGGCCAACCAAGTGGCTGTTATGCGTGACGACGACGCGTTCGAGAAGAGGCCCGTCTCTCTTAGGGAGAATGTCGACGGCTCCCAGGACGGCTCCGGATACGAGTGCGAGTTCAGCGAGCGCGAGCAGAAGAAGATCATTCATCGCATCGACCGACGCCTCGTCGTAACCGTGGGAGTGCTCTACTGCATCAGTCTGATGGACCGCACCAACCTCAGTGCCGCTGCCATTGCTGGGTTCGTGCATGACACGTGCGAGATTGCGCGGTATCAAGACTAACAGCAAGTAGTATGACCGTTGACCTCAAACTCGGTCTCCTAGAGGGCTCAATTTCTCGCTACTCCATCGTCACCATCGTATTCTTCGCGTCCTACATCGTCTTCCAACCCCCGGCAACCGTCATCTGTCGTTATCTCGGACCTCGCAATTTCCTATCGGCTATCGTTGTGCTGTGGGGCGGTGTCATGATTGGCATGGGCTTTGCCGATAGTTACGGTACCATGTCCGCGCTACGAGTCCTCCTGGGAATCCTAGAGGCTGGCTTTTTCCCGAGCTGTGTCTACTTGCTGTCCACCTGGTGTAAGCGCATGCCGGCCCTTGGATCGCCGCAATTTGCTAAGACCTCTCTCAGATACCCGGTTTGATATCGGAAAGCGATACTCATGCTTCTACATCCTTGGAAGTTTGGCATCTGCCTGCGCCGGTATCCTCGCTTACGGCTTGATGCAACTGAAGGGACAGCAGGGCCTGAATGGTTGGCGCTGTAAGTCATCGCCCGGTTACGCCTTGATGTGACTCTGCTGACGTTGCATCTTCCAATTAGGGATCTTCATCATCGAAGGCGCGCTCACATGCTTCCTTGGTATCGTCGGCTACTGGGCTCTGGTTGATTTCCCGGACAAGGCGCATAAGTCCTGGAACTTCCTGACTGAGCGTGAAGCCATGTTCATCATCGACCGCGTCAACAGGGATCGTGGTGATGCCAGGCCAGAGCCATGGTCCATGGCCAAGTTCTTCAAGGGTGGTGCTGACATCAAAATCTGGGGTTTCGCGATGGTAAGCCCCAATATTTCCAATGATCTCCCATTCGCTGACGGGTATAGATATTCTTCAACACCACCACAGTTACATACGCACTGGCGTACTTCCTGCCCATCATCCTAACATTGAACATGGGTTTCAGCACCGGCGCTGCCCAGTGTCTCGTTGCTCCTCCTTACGCTTTTGCTGCCATCGTCATGTACACCACCGGCTGGCTTGGAGACAAATACCACCTTCGCGGACCCATCATCCTGTTCAATATGGTTCTCTGCCTTGTCGGTCTGCCCATCATGGGTTTCCATTCCAACCCGAACGTCAGGTACTTCGGCGTCTTCTTGACCACCGCTGGCGCAAATAGCAACATTCCCGCGACGATGTCATACCAGGCGAACAATATCCGAGGCCAGTGGAAGCGCGCGTTCTGTTCTGCCATCCTGGTCGGCATGGGTGGTGTTGGTGGTATCGCTGGAGGTCTCGTTTTCAGGTGTGTATCTGCAAACTGCATTCCATCGACCATGCCGTTCTAATGTCGAGTAGGGAACAAGACAAGCCCGGATACGAGCCAGGACTGTACGCCTGCATTGCGTGCTGCCTGCTCACAATCGTCATTGTCATTCTCATAACACTGAGATCATGGAGCTTGAACAAGCGTGCGGATCGTGGTGAGCTCGAACTAGAGTACAATGATGTATGTCTTCTCAACCTTCTACTCATGTGGCAAGATGTTAACGTACGCACAGGATGGCGACCAGAAGGGCTTCAGGTATACTTACTAGAGCTGCACCAACCGGATCATCAAAGCATTGATGGTTCTGTACGAATTCGAGATGCCACACCAGACGATCGTCTTCTTCACACGGAATCTTCTCCGGCTTTAGAAAGCATCCCGATATTAATGAACTCATGCCCCATTGTTCACTGCCTTGATTGATTGTTCTCGAAGAACATATGTGCAACGTGAACGTGAAAAGACCTTGAACCGGGTAGCTGTACACGTCGTGCGTGCACAACCAGGCTGCTGTTATATGGTGTTTTTGCCAGCCTCGGGATCAGTAATCATGTTCTTGTTGGTCTGCTTCCACTCAAGTACGCGTCACCCGCTCTTGTAAACGCGACTTTATGCGCTGCCGGAACTAACGTCATAAAGCGTTGGATGGCGAAATGTGCGCACGCGCTTCTTATCTAGCACATCTCTACGTGTGTTGGTGGCACAATTTTCGCGTCTTGGCACGTGCACGCCTGTCAGATTTCAATTTGAAATCCAGGGTCTTACTAAACGGTGAACACGTCAAAGCCCACAACTCGCATTTCAATACAGTATATAGGCTAAGTGGTGTTGAACTCGCTCCCTATAGCCGGCTCCACCTCCTAGGGACAGCTCACAGTCTTCCAGAGTCCTCCCTCGAGCTGTATAAAACATTCACCATTGCTGTCACCGAAATCGCCGCTCACAAACACTTTGCGCAAACTTAGCAGAGGCCACAAGGTCTCGTAGAGGGCGAAACGAACCTACTAATACAGCAGCATATGCCGCAGTGGCAGCGAAGACTTCTGCTCGTCCTGCGTTCGTGCAAAGCCTTACACTCAGTGCAAATAGCAATGTGTATACGGCTATGAGCCCTAGCTTTGCGTTTGGGTTGCTCAGAAAGTAGAGACTAACAATCGCGCCGACTAGCAAAACTGCAGCGAGAACCATGCTTATCGCAGCCACAACCTGTGCGACGAGTGTGTCATTATATCTGTTTGATCTGTCGAGTTCCTCGCGTGGTGAATGTTTGGTGAAGAGCCAGTGGTTCCTCAGCGAACGAGACAGGTAATCTTGGTTGGACGGCTTCTGAAGAGCCACAAGGTCTTGTGCATCTTCCAGAAACTTGCTCGCGCGACCAAAAATCAGCTTCTTCGAGGAGACTGGCATGTTTTGAATCGCGGTTCCGTTGAGATAATCTGTGTAGGTGGTCAAGATTCGTTGACTGGGTTTACCGAGTTGGGCGACTTGAGCGCGCAAGGTCAGCGCTTCGTCTGGCCAATGAATCAGCATGAAGCCCAAGATGTGATGAAGAGACCAACAGTATTCTTGCAATAACCCCTGCAATTCTTTGAGCTTTACTTGAAGCTGCAATTCGAGGCTGTTAGAACTGGGTATCGCCCGTTCGCACATAACTTCCCACCGCTGAAGCGACCGGCGGGTGTCCAGATCGGCTGACTGCCTGATCTCAGATTCTAGACCTTCGATCTCATCTTCAAGTGTCACCATCTGGTATTGCAGCGACAATATGTTGCGCGCTGCAAGTACTCCAAATTTGCGAAAACACAAGCGGCTCATCGTCAGGATCTCGAGCGATCCATTTGGCTAGCGATGGATAGCCATTTCTGACGTCTGCGAGATCGATATCAAGAGGCGAGGTAGACGGGGCCATGAAGTTGTAGCTATGCTTGAGCCTTGATCGGTTAGGTTCGATATCATATGCTGTACCCAGGTGACGATGGATTTTACGCAAAACAGTCATGTATTAAGGTGGAGTGAATGGGTCAGACGAAGCGATCCTTATCTACTTAGGTACTTGAAAGTAACTCGACAGATGCGTCGGGGAGCAAGTTGAAGCTCGGATGAGCTTAGCCCATGCATCTATGGTACCGGTCACACAAATGTGGCGAAGCTCATGCACCTTGACTGCGGTCAAGTTTAAGGGGCGGCCTCAGCCGCCCCTCCACATAAATCCTGCGTGTCCTTATCTCTCCACGTCGAACGGCACACGAATCTACTCACGACCAGATCTGCAATAGAACTACCTGAGCGGAGTTTCTTCACCCAACGAAACATCTAGAAGCTTTCACCATCATCCCAACCAAAACCACAATACCGAACCGGGGTGACACAAGACCAAACATTGCTCTGAGCTGAATCACCCACGTTCCACTGTAAATTCTCACGTGTGTGAGGCGTCCCCGCGCTCGGGAGCTTCGACAGCAGCTGACCAGGTTCAGATCAAGTACCAGAAACGTCACCATGAGCCTCAACATCTCCCGTCGCAAGGTCGACTTTTTGATCAATATGGATTCACCCGAAAACGAAAAGTTCTGTGAGATGACACGTCGTAGCTGCGAAGACGACCGAATCGATACCCTTCCTCTTCGAGACCGACGTGCCGCCCGTGAGGTAGAAACGAGGCGGCGTGCGCAATGGGACGGGGAACAGGCGTTGGGACAGGCTAGTCCGGGGATGGCGCTGTTAGTTCAGTAGCAGAGATGCATCGTTAGGTACTCACCTACCAAGGGTATGAGCACGCCCTTGATACCCGAAGGACGCAGTTATGGGTCCGAAAGGCTCATGATTAACGGGAAACACAACATCAGAATGGGAGCCTTGGGAAGCATGTACAGGAGCGGGCGACAGTGTTGTACACAGAGCACGTTCTGCGGCTTGTAATCTAGTATTATATACACTTCAAAGGAAATCCAGTGGTATTCAGCGAAAGATCAAAATGTCAAAATGTGTGACAACGCCTGCCCAGTGCCAACGGCATAGCAAAAGGCTGGAAATGCGACGCCTTCACCACCCAAACTCCGTCCGTCGCTATGCAAACGCTCTGAAGAAAGTGAAGAGAAACACTAGATCGAGAACAAACAGCCTACAGCAGAGATGGCCCGCTACTTCGCTTCATACTCGTGTTAACGAGGACTGGTCGCTAGTAAGATTTGTATTTCTGCACAAATGTCAGTCCTGCTCACATCACTAGTATAGTAGCACCACTTACATCTTCAATCTTACGCCTCGATTCGGGATCAAGCGCATTGCCTGCGCCTAGTAACGCATTGCTCACCGCTTTCGTAAAACCAACTGCAGGGCGCAAGACGACAGTCGGTCCATGTCGACGAAAGGCCCTTGCGACACCCGTGCCGCTACCCTCTTCCATGACCGATGCAGGAATCGCGATTACTGCGTCACGAGCAGTGTTCCAGTCGCGTTCGAAGTGCCGGACCGCGCTGCGAAGACCAGCGCCCACACCGATCGGCTGATTGGCGTAGTTCGATACGGCGCGTGGCTCTTCTGTATCGGAACTAGGATCTTCGCCATCCCAGTCGAGGGATTGATGGCGGCTCGATGAGGCAGTCTGTGGGTTCAAGAACTCCTCAGTGCCTTCCAGCACAGTTTGCGCGCCGATCGCCACCTTCGCACCCAGACGTGCTGCCTCTGACGTTGTGTGCATAGCGAATGCGTGTACACCCTTCCCCAGACTGCGCACAATTCGACCGTCTTTCTTGTACTCGCGCATTGGAATAACGACGAGGTCTTTGAGGCCGGAACCGACATTCACAAAAGGTCGCAGTCCTGCCAGCCCCGATAGTACGCCTGGTAACTGATTGTTCTTGACATCCGGTGACCACACGTCATTGAGAGTCTTGTGAAGTTTGTCGAACGATGTGATTCCGTATAGAATTGCGTGGCGTAAGGTGATGTCCGAGCCGTCGAGGACGAGAAAATTCATGAACTCCGTTGTGTGGCCGGACCGGAGGCCACGATAGTCCACGCGCTTTGGCTTGTAGTCCAACTTCAGCTTGACTGCCATCACTTCCAACCGCTGAATGAAAGGCTGGTCAGCAGCCGGGCTGCTAGCGGGTGCGGAGTCATCTTTGAACTCAAAGAAACGCGTGATGAAGTCCAAAGCATCCTGATCGATATGCAAGCGGAGTGGAAGGATAGACACCTGATGATCAAATTAGCAAGAACTGGGATGTTCAACATGCATCAAGACTTACTTTAATGACGAGCTCCGAAGCCGCTAGATCAGTGATCGGCTTGACCGTGTTGAGTTCAAGATTTATCATCGGACGAATGAGCTCTCTCTTCGCTGGATCGATTGCGCACGTGACAAACTTCTTCCAGGTAGAGCTAGGCATGTGATCGAAAACCTCTAGATCTCGTACGCGGACATTAACGGAATTGACCGTCTCGCCTGTATCCGGCGGAAAGACGACAAGATCAACTCCGACCCCGCTGAGGGAGAATGCAATCTTTTTGTGTTTACTACGCTCGAGCTTGAGACGACGCCTAGATTTGGTAGTACTTCGAGGCCGTAGAGTAGCTCCAGTCGAGCGTGTCGCTGTTGACGTCGCGTAACTGCCCGTCTCGCTGGCAAGATCGTCAATATCATGGTTGATACGTCGGGCTAGAGCTCCTTTCTCGTCCTTCACATCCACACCAATCCAAACCGAGTTGAAGAGGAAGTCTTGCTCAACGAAGTCATCGTCGTCATCCTCTTCTCGTCCCTTATGCCGTCGCTCCTCGGCGCGAGCCTCAACGTCATCCACAGCTTTGCTGATAACGCTGCGTGTTCGAGGCCAGTCATAGCCGTCGTATAAGTTCCAGATTACGTTGACGTCGCGGACGCGTACCTTTAGTGGAGCGCCTGTAACCTTGAACTCATTGGATGGATGATATTGGTTCTTGGCAGAATCCCATTTACGGGCTTTACCCTTTGGTTCGATATTTGACCCTCCGAAGTAGTCGCCGTCAAAATCAAACGCTTCTTCTCCTTGAGTGACTTCGTGCTTCTCCTGGAAGCTCTCAAGGAGAGCTCGATCGCCACGTTGGCGAGTTATAGGCGGTGTGGCCAAAGCGCTGAGATCGTCTTCTGCCAACAGGCTGTCACCCATTTCCTCATCAGTCGGTAAGGGTTGTGAATTGTAGAGTCCCCCAACGAAAGTAAGACTCTTTGACAGATCATCTTCCATCAAGTCAGCATTGCTCATGAAGTCATCGGCCTCGGCTTCTTCATCTTGCAAAAGTTCATCGCCAGTGAATGACTTCATCATTTGCTGTAGCGGTACCATCGTACGATATCGCTCTGCGGTTGATGGTGGCGTCGGGGGCTGTAGACCGCTCAGAATTGTCATGAGCGTCTGTGTAGAATCTGCGCATGACTCGATAACAAACAGCTCATTTTGGAACTCCACGTCCACGAGCTGTGGGTGTTCCCGTCCATCACCTCCAATATTGACAAATATCTTTGCGGCCGAAATCGAACTCAAAGACACATAGCCCAAGCTTTTCAGCCCATTTAATTGGCCGTTGGCAGAGGGTATGGTCGAGACAGGTCCGTGGTCTTCTACTAGGCGCGCTATGTCATCTATAGCATGCATCGAAGCCTTGCGGAGGTCGACCGTGACAGAGTAGTCGTTTCTTGCTTGCTTACCCGTAACATGCGCTTCCGTGAGGACGAAGAGACCCTTCGAGAGTGATTTCCGAGGATTGAGACCAATTGCGCAATCCCTCAGTAAAAGATCGACCTGAAGCGGCTGAGAGACTGCTGTGACTGGCGAACTCGCCTGGGAAGATTGTCGGCTGATGGTTTTAGGAGAGGATGCGCCTGTGACGGTTGCGACGCTTGAGGCCAGGCCTATAGCCAGATCGTCTACCGTGCCATCCTCAGCAATCCCCAGCGCTGCCATAATCGTGCTGACTCGGTATTCAACGCATAGGTTGAATAACTTGACTTTCACCATGGGGTCCATCTCATCGCCCACCATCCTCAGCATGATGACGGGTAGTTCGTCCGATGGGTCTAGCTCCACAACTTCATGGACCAATACTTCTTCGTTGCGCCGAACAGTCGCTTTGCTTACTTCGACAGCAAGCAAAGCAGGAACTCCGACGTGTGCTAATGCCGATTCCTGCAAGATGACTGAGACATCTCCAAGTTTCTCATTCACAGTGACGCGAGCATCCAGCCGTTTCACCGATGCGAGGCTTAGAAGACCAGGTCGATCATCATCTGGCAAGTATTTGGTGACCTTGGATAATCGAGCCAGCTCTGTCCCCAGAGCCTCAAAGGCTTTCATGTGTTCAAGATCTGAAACATGAACACCGATTTCAGCGATTTCAACTCGGAGTACGGAACCTTTCTTTCGCTGACGTAGCAAGGTTTCGATGAGGATGTCGTCGTTGTTCTCGTACGGGTTCTTTGATGGCGTGATTAAGGATATTAGCCTGGTGAGATCCTGCTCGCCAGGAGCGAAGAGAAAGTTGATTTCAGTGCCTTTCAATTCTCCAAAGAAAGGTACAGTCTTGGGGGCGACCTCGGTGTAAGGGCCAGTCAGCTGTGTCTCGGAAACTTTGAGGCGCACATTGCTTTGCCGTACAGCAATGCGTACCGTCGTCGTGTGAAGTTGCATGGAACATGACTTCCCCCTGAGGGCCAAAGATACCTCACCGAGTTTTACGTCGATCTTCGGAGACTTCTTGGGTGGTGATTCTTTGACAGGGGGAGGTAGACCATCACCAAAATGTACACCGCGAGGCCGAGAACGGGCTGGACATATGACAGGACTTGCGACTGCGCTACTAGAGTTGATGGAGTTGCTCAACTCTAATACGCCGCTGAACCCACCAAAGGAGCCCAACGCGTCGTCCAGTTTCTGGATGTCAAACAAAATGTTGAGGGGACGGGTGACGATGGTGATACGATCGTCTTGCCCCTGCTCGTACTTCAGTTCTATATCGTGATTGGGTTGTTCTAGCGGGACATTGGCCGACCGTCTGGATTTCGGCCGTGAGCTGTGGAAGGAAATGATGTCTTGATCCAAAGATGCTAATGTGAACTTGCCAATATGAAGTTGAGTTCGCAAAATACCGGAAGACTTGCCACTGGTGAGGTGTATAGCCGAGAAATTGGCTCTCAATATTGCATCCGAAGGTTGAAGTTCCAGTTGGTGCTCTGAAAGCGGCCCTTCCTGCGTAGATTCCGCCAACACGTGCTCCAGCCACGATAGAGCAATGCTCTGCACGGAAACTTCAAAACTCATGGGAGATGATTCCAAAGTTTCCGTGGACTTCGATTTCACAGTTCCTTCGCTTGAGGACTGTTCCCCGGTCAGAGCTTGTGTTGCCCTAGCAAACATAGCGGCCATGATGCGGCCAGTGGAAATGTCCATATGACCGACTACGGAGCCGACATCGACAATAATCGAAGCCACGCCTGTTGTCGTGGGCTGCGCTGGAGGCCGAGATGTTTGTGGGGATGCGGGGGTAGGTCGTCCGCGAGACGACGCTTCCAGGGAGGGCTTTCGACGGTGTGAAGAAGAATGTGCATAATTGGAGAACGATCCTGGCATCTCCGTGAAAATAGAATCTTCACCCAAATTGGAAGGACTAAACTCCATGCTTGCCGCATCATCGACTTGCTCACTTGTTGCATCATTATGCTCTTTATCACCGAGGGCCATGGGGAACCACACAGTAATCTCATCTATGGTGAGAAACCGTTTGGCATGTTTTCGCGGACCGGGCGCGTCAGGCGTGGGGGTTTGTCTAAGTTCGGGTCTTGGCGGCAAGACCGAGCTCTGGCGGCTTCCCGGACGTGGAGTCTCGCATCCATCGTCTGCTTCTGGCAATGGCGCTAAAATGCTACCGGAGATCATATCCTCTGGTATCGGTTCCGACCTGTCGGAACTAGATTCTTTACTTGAGTCTGACGAAGAGTCCCAGCCTCCGGGAACATGCCCAGCATGAGCGGAACTAGCCTGCGTCGCACTCACTGCACTCATGTACATACTTTCAGCCTCATCGTGCGTGAAAAACCGTGACTGGGCCATGTCTTCATCTGGTGAAGGCGATGAATCAAGGTGCTGGTGCACGTCGTCGGAAAGCTCCTGAGTATCATCCGTTGTTCGCTCATGTGCTGCAGCCAAATTGTCAGTACTGATGTGGGATGCCTGGGTATGGCCCGATTGAGACGATGAGTCGATCACATTCGGGACTGGAAAGGAGCGACCCAGAGCAGACACAGTAGGCAAGTCTGACACGGATGCATCGCTAGCGGCTTCGGAGATGTGAGTATGTCGGCTTGAAGTTGCACCGTTTAGCCCCCACGCCGCCGCTTCCGAGGACTGTTCCATCGCCGGTTGCTCCTCAAGTTGTGAATTGAGCATGTCATTCTGCATCGCGAAGTTGAGCAAGCCCTCGTCGTCATACGATAAACTACCCTCGCCAAGATCAGGGAAATCATGATCTTGCTGAGACTGGCCGACTGAAGGCTGCAGTTGTTGACCATACACGCCGTCATCGGAAGTAGCGTCTGCAAAACGATCATCGTCTGTTGTTTGCGGCGACAGCGCTAGCTGTGCTTGGTCCGGGGATAAAGAACGCTTGGGTGAGGCAGCTTCTCCGTGGGAGATGGCACTTTGGACTTCTGTTGGCAAAACGATCTGGCTGGATGACGCCTCTTCATCGCTCCGGAATGTTGTCGAGCTTATCACTTCCTCTTGTATGGATTGCCTAGACTCAACAGGCTGGTCTTGAACTTGACTCGTCGCAAGTTCGCTGGTGGTTTCATGGCTGCTTGACGCCTGTGATCGCGAAGTAGGCGGAGATGACGGCTGCGAGAGCTGCGATTGAGATACGAAATTTTTGACATCAGACACTAAACGCCCGCAGATGTTTTCCACCCGCATTCTCCGCTTACCTAGCTTCGAGGTGGCGGGAGGCAACGTTGTGGACTCAGCGTCAATGCGAACATCTTTGGCAGTGGTCGAGTCAATCGCTATACGCTGAACGTGAAAGCTCAAAGAAGAAGGTGAGGTCTCGCTTGACTTCGACGAGTCCATGGCATCGTTAGGGAAGTGATCCTCCACATCTATATCGATGTTGTGGATAACTATGCTTAGACGATCTAAAGCGGTGTTCAACATACTGCGAAGATATGTTGGGATCGTCAGAGGCGCTCCAATACCGACAGAAGCCTCTTCGCCATCGTCACTCGATGCGACCGACTCGTGCATATACGTAGGTTGAGACTCGAGCTCACGCTGCAGCTCGCGAATTTCTTCCAGAGGCTCCGTCTTTATGAATGAATTGGCCAGCTCGTCTACGGTGGGCACGTAGTCGTCGTCATCGGTGTCATTGTCTGAACCATCGTTGTCCTGGTTGTTGGGGGCAGCGGAAGGCGAAGCGGCCGTTGGAGGTGGCGAGGATCGTTTCTGGGTGTGCTGTCGGCGAGTATTTGAAGAGGGAGCACCTTCGACATGCTCGGTCAACCGAGCTTCTACCCGTATGCCATGTACCTCTATCAATATCTGGGGGACGCCGAATTCGAGGACGAAGGTAACCCGGAGGAGCGAGGCTTGCGCTTTCAACAGCTGGATCTCGGGAGGGAGGGTGAGGTGTAATAGTGCTAGGAGTTTCTAGAACATGGTGTCAGTACTAGGCGCACAGTGATGGACATCTCCGGGACGTACCCTGACGTGCAACCCAACGTCCCGAACCTCGAGTGTAGTGCGCCACCCGACATCGACGCTCACGAAGTCGGCAGGGTCTTTGTCCAGTATGTCGATGTGGCACAACCCGTAGAGGAGCATCTTCCGGCCGATGGAGCTCGAGAGCGTAGAGAAGAAAGCCATGGCGGTGGAGAGGCTGGCGACCGGGTTGGGGGACGCGCTGGTGGCAGGCTGGTCGAACGCCTATCGCCGGGAGAGAAGAGGCTCCATGGATAGCGGAGCGTGCGGGTTGGTGGCGCGTGTCACGACTGCGAAGTGTGAAAGTCTTCCTATCGGTACGGCGATGCACAGTGGTGCCTGCCAAGTCTGGTTGCTTCACCAGCCGCGGATGTGAAGTATGGACGGTCCCGGATCTAGAAAAAGCAGAACTGTAGGGGCATCAGCAACGAGATTAGTGAGGGAGCCGGTCCGCGTGGCAATAAAAGACGTGGGTGATCACAGGGCGAGGTTCCGCCGTCTAGCGTCGAGGTTGCGGTGCTATGGAGCGCAGATGATGTGTTATGCCATCGCAGGCGACCGTGCAGCTGCCATCACCCGCTACCGCCCCGCGCATGCACCAACGCGCGCTAGGCAATCGATAAGCAAAGCCCCAACGCGTCAAGAGCGCGTGCTGTGAATGAGACAACAGTGGCCGTTGCAGTGCGGCTTGGACTTCACATTCGAAGAGTGAAAGACGCCATTCCCTGTGTTCCCGCGTGCCCTGCTGGTACATGTAATCTGTGCAGGCCTCCGTATCTCGCCGCTCTTGGCACGAGTTAGACCCTGTTACGTCAGCAGTCACTAGCTCCATTCAGGAAGGAACTCGCGGAAGTCACCGATAGGGCGGCGTCTGACACTGATACAACAAATTGTGAACGACATTTCCTTCACCAAACATTCCTTGTTCTGAGGCGCAGACACAGCCGCTATCATGACTACGAACGATGCTGCGAACGACGACGAGTGGGCGCAGGCCGAAGGCGTCCCGAACCTAAGCGACCCATTCATCCAACAGTACTTACAGGGCCGAGACGCTTTGGTTCAGCAAGAGAAGAGACAACGAAGCGGTTCGTGAACCAAAATGTTCGTCACTGTACAGCATGTGCAGTGGTCTAACCACCTCCAGACTATCTTTTCCGCCAGAATCTATCGCCCATGGCTCAGGAAGCATGCGCCATCGTCTCCCAGATTCGATTTGAGGAGCAACAGACCCTGTGGACAAAGGAATACGAAGACAGCTTACTAACCGAACATGTCGATGTCTTTCCAGGCATGATGTTCTCACTTGCCAAGGAGCGCATGGAGAAGAGCAAGCTGTGGCAGATAGTCAAGCGAATGCCGAAAGGCGCACTCTTGCACTGTCACTTGGAAGCCATGGTGGACCTTGACTGGGCGCTTGAAGAAGCTTTCAACACTGAGGGTGTCTGCGTTATAGCTGATAGTCCCATCACCGACGACAAGACCAGGCGCAAAACCGGCTTCTCCTTCACCTACTCCAAGGACGCGAACGGTGACGCTTCAGTATGGAACGACAGCTACACTGCGAACACACCAGTGCCTGTAAATCAAGCCGCGGATACCTTTCCAAATGGCGGCAAGAAGGCCTTCATCGAATGGATTCGCTCCCGTGTCACTATTACCCATTCAGAGCACCTCTCTCATCACGAAGGCCCCAACGAAGTATGGCGCAAGTTCATATCATGCTTTCCTATTCTCGGCTCCCTCATATACTACGAGCCCATCTTCCGCAAGTTCGTACGCAGGATGTGCAAGGCTCTAGTCGACGATGGCGTATACTACGTTGACTTGCGTGCTGCGTTCTATACGCCCTACCGCAGCAGCAGAAAAGAGATCTGGGACTCGGATCACTTCAATCTGCTTGAGCATCTGGCGGACGAGATTGAGAAGTTTAAGGCGAGTGAGGAAGGGAAAGACTTTTGGGGCGCTAGAATGATCTGGACGACCATTAGACAGTTCGGAAAGAAGCAGGTGATTGAGAGTAAGTTGCTTGCCGCTCGCGCACATCTCGTCCACTATCAACGCGTCTGGGAGCTTTTGTATTACCATACTAACAATCGGCCAGGCATGAAGCAATGCATCGAGATGAAGATCGAATTCCCCGAGATTATCGCGGGCTACGACCTCGTAGGCCAGGAAGACCTCGGCCGCCCGCTTTCAGACCTTGCGCCCGAGCTCTTCTGGTTTCGCAAGGCCTGTGCTCAAGAAGGAGTCGACATACCGTTCTTCTTCCATGCCGGGGAGACGCTTGGCGACGGCGACTCAACTGACGAGAATCTCTTTGACGCTATTATCTTGGGTACGCGGCGCATAGGACACGGGTTCAGCCTTTACAAGCATCCACTCCTTATCGACATGGTCAAGGAGAAGAGAATCCTAGTGGAGAGCTGCCCAGTATCCAATGAAGTGCTACGACTTTGCTCGAGCATCATGTCGCATCCTCTGCCAGCGCTGCTTGCCCGTGGAGTTCCGTGCTCGCTTTGCAACGATGATCCAACTATCCTTGGTCAAGGTGTATCTGGCATGTCGCACGACTTTTGGCAAGCGCTTCAAGGATGGGAGAATCTTGGTCTTGAAGGCCTGGGCTCATTGGCGGAGAACAGTGTGCGTTGGGCTAGTCTGGATGATTACAGTGCGAAAGAGTGGACCCAGGATGTCAAGGATGGAATGTTTGGGAAGGGAGTACGGGCACAAAGATTGAAGGAGTGGGTGAGCAAGTGGGAGAAGTACTGTGCTTGGATCGTCGAAGAGTACGGCGTGGATGAGAACGTAGAGCCGGAAGAGTGAATCTCTACAAGGCATAAGAACTGCTTCGGTACGGCACATACAGGGTGGAATGAGATTCAACATCGTGTTTGGCAAGATGCATCACTCGAAAGACATGGCCATCCTCATTTCGAAGTTCAGGAGTGCAATGAGGTAGCGAAATGAGCTGCCGATGGAACACGTTCAACATGAACCTAATGGCCCCTAGGACTCTCACCTCATTAGTCAAACAAACACCCGACCAGCCGTATGCCAAGCTGTCGTACGCTCCCTTCACCACCGTGAGCATCCCCATTCTCCCCTGATTCCTCGCTCCGAAATGAACGTAGGTGATAATCTCGACCGAGCGATCCGGGGGTAGCTCTAGATCCGTCGCTAAGGCTGTATACTTACTTGTAGGTTGTTGTACAATAATAAGATAACATAAATTCTACTAGCTTGTAAGTTAAAAGTCTAAATACAATAATTTATATATAGTAACTTATTAAAGCTTTTAAAAGCTTTCTTATATCTACTACTAAGTTTAGTAATCTAAAGCTAAAACTAAAAAAAATACTTCTAGTACTTATTCTACTATAAATTATTTAATATAATAATATTATTCTCTATTAACTATAACTATAATATTATCTTTATTTACTAATAACTATAATATAATAACTATTTTATAGTTATACTCTTACTAGCTTTAGTAGAACTCTAATACTACTTCTATCTATATAATAGTATTTACTTACTAAAAATAACTTATAAATACCTTTTTATTTTTATTTTATTTTTTATTATACTTTTTTAGAATTTCTTTTAATATAGTCTACTACTAGTAAGTATAACTCTTTATTACTTTACTTAAATATAGCTTTACTTTTATATTAATTATATATATAGTAAGATAAATATAAATAGTATTTCTACTTTAAAAAGAGTACTTAATAATTAGTATATCTAGAATAAGCTTTTTTAAAATTCTAGTAATATATAGATTTTTAGCTACTAAGAAGTTTATAATATTAAAATCTAGCTTATAAAAGAACTACTCTATCTTATTAATAAAATTTTTAAATATAAAGTTTTAGTAAAAAATAATAGTAGAATTTACTTACTTTAAGTACTTATAAAAGATATATAAAATATAGTAGCTATTAATAGTTTTAGTAAAAACTATATTATTAGTAAAGTACGCCTTAAAAGTATAGAAAAAATAGTAGTAGTTATAAAAATAATAAAGAAAGTTATAAAATTTACTATAATACTATCTTTTATAATAATCTTAAGAGAATTTATATAAGTAGTAATAGTAATATAATTAGAAGGTAAGTAATTAAATAATAATAGAATAACTTAGTTAAGTATTAGTAAGTATAATATAACTAGTAATAAGATTAGTTTTAAACTTATAATTACTTTAGAAACTTATTAAAGAGTTATTTAAATAGTATAGCTTTTAGTATTAGCTTTAAGTTACTATTAGTATTTCTAATATATCTCTAAAGTTCTAAGAGTTATAGAAATTAAAAAAATAGAAAAAGTACGCTTTTACTAAAATTTTAGTATATATATTCTAACTATAAATCTTTAAAATATATTACTTTATTAGTTCTAAGCTAATAAGTATATATAATTATATTATAATTTTCTTAGAAATTAGTATTAAAATTCTCTTATAAAGTGCTTTAGTATAAAAATAGCTTTTTAGCTAGTCTAAAAGATTTAGAAACTTTAACTATTTTAGAAGTAGTAATACTAAGACTCTAAGCTTTAGTCTATTTACTTTTAGAGTACTAAAACCTTTAGTTATATATTCTTTAGTATACTAGTAATAGACTTTACTTTTTTAGAACTAGTTTATAGGCTATAGAATTATTAGTTTACTAATAAAATATAATAATATCTAATAGCTTTTATATACTTTTAGAATAGAAATCTTATATAAATAGATATTTCTTATACTTATTTAGAACTATAAGTAAAACTCTAAGTTTCTTTAGATAAAGCTTATCTACTTTACTATTTAGCTTTACTAGTTATAAGTACTAGAGTCTAGAAGTATTTATAACACTAGCTACTAAAATAGCTATTCTATTTATATTATACTATAATATACTTAGTAATATATTATAAAAAAAAATATACTCTATTAGCTTACTACTATATATATATCTAGTAATCTTAGATTTTAAGAATTATATTCTACTTTAAGTATTAACTTAATATAGTCTAGTATATTAACTTATTCTATATATATTTTTATAATACTAGCTTAATTTATAAAGTAAAAAGATAGAGAAGATATATTTATAGTTACTATAAATAGTTAAAATAAAATTAATATAGAAAGTATTAGGTAAGTAGCTAGAATT